AGAAAATGTGGCAAACATCCAACACACCTTTCTCTTCCTATTATCTTCACAACAACCCTGAGAAGTGGGCTGGGCAGAGAGGGAGGAAGTGGCCCAGAGTCACCTGGTTTGCCTAAGGCGGGACTAGAACTCACGGTCTCTTGGTGATTGGCCCAGTCACCCAGCCGGCTTTCATGCCTAAGGCGGGACTAGAACTCACCGTCTCCTGATGATTGGCCCAAAGTCACCCAGCCGGCTTTCATGCCTGAGGCGGGACTAGAACTCACCGTCTCCTGGTGATTGGCCCAAAGTGACCCAGTCGGCTTTCATGCCTAAGGCGGGACTAGAACTCACTGTCTCCTGGTGATTGGCCCAAAGTCACCCAGCTGGCATTCAGGCCTAAGGCGGGACTAGAACTCACCATATCCTGGTGATTGGCCCAAAGTCACCCAGCCGGCTTTCATGCCTGAGGCGGGACTAGAACTCACTGTCTCCTGGTGATTGGCCCAGTCACCCAGCTGGCTTTCATGCCTAAGGCAGGACTAGAACTCACCGTCTCCTGGTGATTGGCCCAAAGTCATCCAGCCGGCTTTTGAGTCTAAGGCAGGACTCGAACTCACTGTTTTCCTGTTTCTAGCCTGGTGCCTTAACCACTACACCAAACTGGCTCAACATGAAATGAATTGGATTAAAAAAAAAAGCCCTTTTATACTGGATTATCTCCCTAGGTGGATTATGCCCTTTGTGTGAATGTTGATGTTGCGTTTTGTTCTTTGCCTCATTTATTCAAAGATTAACTTGATTAATTCCCGTGCTTTTTAATAGCACTCAGAACCCAGAGTTAAAATAGACATGAAATGATATCCTACATTGTGCTTGTCTCTTTTTCCCTCGTTCCTCCTTTTTTCTCCAACTTGGCATGAGTTTATTTCTTTGTAATTATGTATTAAATTTATATGCCGCCCATATAAGTTTGAAGCAACTCTGGGCGATTGATATTTGTAGCTATATTAGCTGCGAAAGGCTGAATGGCAAAGTCTATTCCAGGGTTGCAGGGCCCCCTCCTGACCACAAGGGTGTCCCCCAGGGATCTTCAAAAATTAACCCTAAAAACTGCAACTGAAAGACAATAAAACAATTTAATCGGTGGGTGCTAGTTACATTAGCTCTGCTAGGTGGCAGCACGTGGTCAGTCTTGGGAAGCTAAGCAGGGCCAGACCTGGTTAGTAATTGGAGGAGAGACCTAGAGGGACTATCAGGAGTACAGAATCTTTGGGAAGTCAAATAATAACAGTATTGGAGGAAGATCTTCGCAAGGCCTCCCCTATTATGGC